TAAAATGCACATTTGTGTATACATATTTACACTCGTCTGTGCTGTTGTAAATTGTGTAACACATTTTTTATACTTTTCCAAGTAAAGGTACTTAATGACACTTTAGTATTTATTTTTATTTCTTTTGTTTATTCTAGCAAAAAATATTCTTATCGACTTTCTCTAATTCTTACGTATTTACTCTCGTCTGTGTTGTTGTAAATTGCGTAACAAATTTTTTATAATTTGTCAAGTGAAGGTACTTACTGGCACTTTAGTATTTATTTTTATTTCTTTTGTTTATTCTAGCAAAAAATATTCTTATCCACTTTCTCTAATTCTTACTTATTTACTGTCGTCTGTGTTGTTGTAAATTGCGTAACATATTTTTTATAATTTGTCAAGTGAAGGTACTTACTGGCACTTTAGTATTTATTTTTATTTCTTATTTCTAGAAAAAAAAATATTCTTATCAACGATTTCTAATTCTTTGATTGGTATGATGGGAAAACCCGTAGCGTATTTTTTTTTTTATATGTTTACGGTAAATTTTACTTTGACTCTACTAGAGTTTTTTACAAAGTCAAGTTCTGGGAGTGTACGGTGAGTATGCTGCGAGTAAACGCCGGGACCAGGAGTATTTATTTTGCTCGGTTTTATTGCGGAAATTCATGAAAATGATGTCAAAGATGATAAAGAAAATGGTTAGAAAAGCCATGCAGTTGTCAGGTGAAAGCGGAGACAATAAATCTGAATCACATGAAAGTTTAAAATCATCTAAAACGAGCAGGCTACTCCAAAAAAGCTCAATGTAGGGATGCCACATCAATTAACGCTAAGAAATGTGAAGCACAACAAAATCGATCCACCGAAGACCGATGACCGCTCCCAAACGACTTCAGATCCTGGATTGAGTGGTGGAATTGTGAAGGAATTTACCATTGCGTATTACTACATTGTGGAGAAACCATCAATTCGACCCTCTACTGTGCACCACTCGACCGTTCGAACGAAGCAATAAAGAAAGAGCGACCAGAATTGGCCAACAGGAAAAGAACTGGGTTCCATCATGACAAGGCCAGGCTACACACACACAAATTGACGAAGCTTCGTTGTGAAGTTACAATGCATCCACCGTATGGCCTGGACCCTTGCACCGTCTGACTTTCGTTTGTTACGGTATCTGCAAAACTCCCTGATGGTAAACAAGTTGGCCGACCGAAGAGGCGATGAAAACAACTTGGCCAAGTTTTTCGCCGATAAACCACAGACTTTTTACACCGTTGGAATTATACAGCTACTCGAAAAATGACAAAAGGTCATAAATAATAATGGCCTATATGTACTTGATTAAAATTGAGTTTCAATAAAAAGTTCAATAATTTAGCCGAAAACTCAGACAGATTTTTCCTTATAAACAAAAATGTGAGAATTTGAATTAATTGGTTATATGTTTCCTTTATTTTATTAAGAAAAATTGAAGGCGAAATTTGCCTGATATTTTTTGTGCAATAAAATATTCCGACATTTTTTATTCTTATTTCTAAATATTAATAAAAGAGAAAATTATCCGTGATATTTCACATTTTGTGGGATCTCTTTCGAAAATTTGTTTTTATATACTTTTCAGTAATTTTTCCGAACCATTTATCAATTTGTGTGGGTTTTCGTGTGACATTTCAAACTTTCTGAAATTCATCGACGTTTTGTTCATTTTATTATAAAATGGAGCTCACATTTTCGTTAAGAGTTTAAATATATAGTATGCATATCTTTAGTATCGAATTAAGGTAAAAAAAAAATCGCAACGATTACCTATACTCTCTTTGCTTAGCCTTAACTAAGCGCACCGTAGGCTTGACAGATGATTCTTTAGCGTTTTGTGTTTGTCAGAATTTCAAATAACGGTGTAAAGTCCACCCCTGATATGCATGTATGTATGTGAGCAGTAACATGAAGCCAGACCTAAATATTTACATATGGGCATATCCTGAGTTACGGACACGACATTCGTACGACTTTAGGGTTAAAAAAATCATACGAAAACTGAAGTCACTTGTAAAAAAAATTAGCCGTTGTGTAAGCTTTATACCGTTCTTTGGTTGACTAAAAAATTAGGTGCGCTTGGAACACCGACGTCGAGAAAATCGATGAAACGGCGGGCCTAACGGACGCGACAAAACCAGAGTGATTTCAGAGTAAAAGTAAAAATAAGAAAAAAACTCAACGAATCCTGTAAGGCTTTCCCTTATTCAAAATTCTTTAAATAAAGTAAAATTATGGACCGTTACAATCAATTCATTTTTAATCAGAAGCAATTCGTTATTGATTTAATTTTGAATTAAAATCTGGTAACGGACGCGACATATCGGACCCATTCCTCCATGCAATATTTTTACTAGTTACACATGCGGAGGTCTCTGCGTATTGTTGTACCCTTCTATGAACAAATTCTTAGAACTGATTACGCTCGAAATGCTCCCATCGCTCGAGCTATCAATGAACTTAACAGGATCTCGAACTCTGTTTCGTTTGATTTCTCAATATCTAAGTATGAACTTATTAACATATTGAATACAGTTTTGTAATATATTGTTAAGTTTTTACGTTGTTTGTTAAATATAGCTCGTAGTCTGTAAGAAACCTGTATTTCATAGACTTGAATAAATAAAATAAAAAGAAATTTAATTTTTTATTTAGTTTTTTTCAGCTCTTATTTCCACCGTTTCGCGTTTTTCAAGCCTCTTTTCGCCATCTGAATACGAAATTTAAAGTTATAAAACCGTCTGAATTCATTTACTTGCATTTTCGGTTTACCTTTTTTGGGAAATGCCCATATGGACATTCATATATACAATGGGTAGATATATACATACATAATTACATATATATCTCGACATATTAACTTTGTTGTCCATATTACATTGGTATGTATATGATTGTACATACATACATACATACTACATAGTATATCTGGTCATATTAAAAATGTTATAGATAAGATATCGCAACTATAAATAACCCCTCTACAAAAGTTAGATTTAGCTCATATTTTCATGAGACAAATGCATCGGGCCACTTGCTATTTGAAAGAAAGAAGGAGGGAGATAGAATGAAAGCAGACATAGTCTATGATAATTTCAAAGTCCCTTCTTTCCCTATGAGGGCAAAGCAGAAATCAGTTCCAAAACTTATTTAAAAATATTAACTTTATATGAACGAGTAAGTTGGTTCAGATATACTTAACTTAAGAAAACTAGAGGGGTGTCTCTATAAATTGTTGGTGATACTGCAAAATGGGCTATGTCTATTAGTACCCTTGACACTTAGAGGGTCTCTTACTTACACCGCAATGCATCTGCAAATCCCTTAAACCCTAATAAACGAATGACAAAAAACTGACTACCTTTGCCTGATGAAGTTGAACGATTGCCAGAAGCGATCTGAGATAATAAGTGACTTAGAACGTTTTGCAGTATCACCAGCGTTGGTTGAGTTAAAATGCAAATGTCTTTCAACCAAGTTTAAAAAGCGAAAAGTACTGTATCCGGTTAATACAGCTGCATATCTTCGCTGCCCAAGGAACGTTTTTAAACTTGAAAAAAGGTTCCGAAAATAGAAATCTGCGGGAAAATGGATTTTTCATAGGAGACTTTTGATTTTCTTAATTCTGACCAGAACAGTACAAGTGAAATGGTTGGCCAGGTTCAAAATTTATTATTTATTGAAGGTTTAACTGAAGAGTGGGATATTCTATTGAAAACTTTACCTAAAAAACGCTTTTTCTATATAAAATTTTACAAACCAGTGTAATCAATCAATCCAAAGAATTTTAAATAATCTCATCAAACTGCACATAATCTGCATATAACAGTTTATTTTTAATTGACACGAATGTGACAAAAAACAGAGCTACATGCACAGGTGCACATACACACATACACACAAAGGTATTTTAATTACAATAATACAAATTAAAGAATTGTGACATGCTGAAGCAATTGATGCTTGTACTCGACGGCTTTGCTCTCGCCCCATTCAATCCACTACAAAATTACAATTTTTATACGCTTTAAGATGCTTGCAATTGTTTTCGCATTTGACGCTTCTCCGCCAGCATTGTTCCATATGGACGGATTGTGATGTAGTAAATTATCTCTACGAAGCTCAGAAGACTGGCGCCGACAAAGAGGCCGGTAGTGCCACCGATGGACACTGGGGCGGAAATTTTTTAAATTAATTACACAAAATACGAGCGCTTCATTAAAATTAATAAAAATAAACCCATAACAAATCCACTCACCAACTAAATCCAACTTTCCACGCACAACATTTCGCTTATAACGCTCGGTTGGCAATTCGATAAGTGAGATCTCGACTTTCGCCAATGGATTTTGATTCTCAAAAATGCTAAGTTCAAGAATGTCAGATAAATATTATAAATTCCAACATAAATTTTTTTTTTGCTTATTATGCAAATATTTCACTTTCCTTACTTCTCCTTGCTGTCATGCACCGTCGATATATCCACCTCCGTGCAGGATGGCAAGCAGTCGCAGACCAAACCTTTGCGGCCACGCGACCACTTGGCTATGATCACCGATAAGTCTTCGTAGTTGCGATTCAAACACTCCAGTCCGTCCATGTTGCACAACTGCCAGTCCGCGTGTATTTGGCGAGAGATGGCTGAGCAGTTGCATAGCTCGATTTGGCGATCCTTGCGGCATTGCACGGTGCAAGCAGAGTAACTGTAATAGCGATGGACATCCAAATTGTTTTCATCGCTGAAACGGCAATTTCGTTGAGCTACGCTCGTTTCACGAATTTGTTCGTCATTTTGAATGTCGCGCTTGGAAAAATTCCGACTGGGGGAGGGGGAGGGGGAGATAAATAATATATCGACATGGCATTAAAGGTATATAATAAATTCTTACTCACACAAATGAGACGTAAGGACCAACCAACAAATAATCGGTTTTTGGGGTAACCAAAGTGGGAACCTCCTCTTCACCGAGTATAAAAATCTAAGAATAGTCATAAAACAGCACGACAAAAAAAGTCAGTTAAAAAACGTTATATTTAGTTAAAAAATTAGTTACTGTTGCTTCGGTGTGTAATTCCATTTTCAACGAACCGGGTCCAGTGTAACGATTTGAGTACATATTCAATTTAGGACCGTCATTTTTGCTAAAAAAGAAATTAGTTAGACATATTTTTGTTGCCTTGCAAAAAATACTTCCGATGGTAATGAAAATATATAAATCGCCAGTCAAATGACTAATTGAGGTCGAAAGAGAATATTACAACCTGGTTAGTTTCCCTCGAGTACAAATCACTATTATAAGTCCACTTAGTAATTTTTTCGTTCTTTTGATTTTTCCATTTTATTTATTTCAAAACTTCCCCGATCTGATCTCAAAGGTCTTACCCGCTGCAGAATGTCGCTGCATGATCGTCCATGCGTAGTTGCAAATGCCTTATCATGCCACATGCAATTCTGTATGGAGTCCTGGCAGCTGCTGCGCACCAATTGAGCGTAGTAGGAGAAATTCGAGTAGAAGCAATTCTCCACCGGTTCTTCGCCGCCGCACTCGTGCACCATGTGATAGGATTCGCCGCGAAAGAAGGATATCTCGCTTAGCACCTCCTCCAAGGTGAAATCGTGATCAGCGCCCCAGAGTCTAAAGAAGGGTAGGAAGTCAAATACAAAGTCAAGAAAATTGTGTTTTTTCTTACTTTTCAGCCACTTCTTGTATGCGATCCATATTTTTGGACTCACAAACAACTATGGCCGGAAAATTGGTGTCCCAATCCCGATAGGAGCTTTCGACAACGAAACTAATGGCATTGTTTTCGAAAGCGTCTACATGAAAGAATCACTTTTGAGTAGACTGAATCAATAAAAAATACATATTCCGAATGTCGGTTACCCAATGACACTTTTATCAGCTGCCAGGAGGCTATCCAAGACGCCACCAGGCATAATGCCCAAAACAATCTCTCAATCCAAGATGCATCTTTGTCCACTATGAATTTTGCTCCATGCAACGTGGAATTCTCGAAATATTCCTCCACAAGGCGTCGCAAATGCATTGTTTCCGTTCCGTTCCTCAAAACGATTTCACGCGAATGACCATACGAAATGAGAAAAATTTCGGTGACCAATGAAGCAGGCTGGAATAATATTTTGCCCCCTGCCAGACAGGAGTGGCCACTTATAAAACAATTACAGTATCTTGATTACATTGTATATTTTATCAAATGCATGTTATGAAAGCATTCTGAATGGCTTACTAAACAGTTGTTACCGTTCACATGGAAGCCATTGGGTGTTAGAATATTTTTATTTATTTTTTGATACCGTTTATTCAATAAAAAGTGTTTTGTTTTGGTAAAATTATGCATTATTAGTTGTGATTTCAAGGGCATGGATGTTTATGAGTTAGTCATATAAATACCGAATATTTTTCTTTTTTTCCTTAATTGAGAATTTAGAGATGACGTCAAAGATTATATATATGACATATGTATATGAAAATAAGTTATATTTATATTATAGTGAGACTTTGTTGGCAGATACTTACTTGTTTCGGAAATTTGAATTGTTTCCCGAAGAGTAGCATTTAATTTATTCTGGACGAAGCAAGTTCTCTTTGCCAACCCTTAAATAATCTGAAAAGTGTGAAGTGTCCCGCATGCAGATACCATCTTGACCACTTAAGTTTGATAATATTCCGTAAGGGCGCAGCGAAAACCCTCTGGTAAGCATTGAAGTCTTATGATCTGTGGGTGCTAAGCAGACGACTCTTCGCTGGAGCCCGGATAAGCTAAATGTTTTCCGAACAGTAGGGAAGGTCTATAGAGAACGCCCTGCACACAATTTTAAATAAGAAAGATAAATCCTCACAACCACTTTGAAGTAGAGGCCTACCTTGACATCAAGCGGCTTTTAAAAACGCCCCACCCGATGCGATAAGTAGTTAAATCAGAAGATAGTATCTAATAAAGATCTTCCATAGCTATAACTGTTACATCTGAGTGAGTCAGTAACTTTTTATAGCGATAGTGAACTTCGGCACCCCGAAAAAGGCGCGCTACTCTGGATGGCAGGCATAAACCATTTTATAGAGAATCTTTAGAAGGGAGGATCTATACAGGCGACCTGGAACTTACGGTTAAGGATTCCTTTCTGATTAGTATAATCTGAACAAAAGCAACTAAAATCTGATGACTAAATGGGCGGGTAATCACGGCCAAGTCCTCATTCCTACTAAGACACAACTGATCATTTTGATTGCTGAAGCTATCCACAGGGTACGTGGGGACGAGTACGAAAAATGACACTGAAGTTGGCACAACGCCGAAACCGATTAGCTTCCAAACAAAAATTGACAAGGGATCACAGAAATTCGTTCCAAAATACATCACAAAACTGATTTTATTGAGCCCAGTCTAACTAAAAATTATCGTACAATAACTGCAAAAATTTCAGTTCCAATTTATATAAGCTAATCTTAGAGAAATCATAAACTACAATATATATTTCCCCAACACTCCTCATACACTTTATTATACTCGTGCGAATCGTATGGAAGTGTAAACATATTTATTTACACACATCGTACATATGCCACAAGCAAAAAAATTTGGCAAAAAAAACAAACAAAGAAGGCGTTAAAACCAATAACATCGACAATTAATATTCATCAGGTAGAAAAGTGCTAATTTTAAATTTACAATCTGCTTAGTTTAAATAGGCGCAATAAGATGTTGGAGAATCGTTAATTTAAAGTTTTTACAAAAACATATAAATGTAATAAAGCTGGTGGGTGTCAGAAAACCTTCAGTAGAAAACAAATACATACATAGACATATTCACTGGCTGTATATCAATTTAATTAATTAACAAAGTGAGAGATCCCTTGATTTTGTCATTTAGTGCGAGCATTAACTTTTTTAAAAACTAAAAGAAAATGTATTTACATATAACTAGTTACTTATTTTTTATAAGCATTTGCCCAAAAATATGAACTCCAACAGTAATACTTTATGTCATATCATAAATGTAGTGAAAATGAAAAAAAGAGGATTTAAATACAACTTTTGATTAACAAGACAACATTTTAAGTCCGCTTTTAGATTCGGCTTAATTTTTTATTCATTCACTACTTTTCCCTTAGTGCTAAAACACTTCCTGATACTCAAAAACTGTTTGCAAGTTATGAAGCAAATCTGATGGAGAAGGGGGCATACCCATTTCGAATTTGGCAATTAAATATTGTTAATATTAAATTAGGTTTAAAATGCTGTTCTTAATGAATGGAATTACCGCCATAAACAAACACATTCGTTCTCAGTAAGCAATAAATGATTTCACATCAATATTATTTGAGGTGCTAAACAATTTTTATTTTTTTCAAACGAAAAGGCAGCTATAATTTTTACCACTTAGACTTTGTTGGTATTTCCGATTTCTAAAAAGTAAAAAGCTCCGTACAAATTTTGACAGCTCTTTTACGAGCTTTACGAGGTTTACGAGGCTTTTACGAGTTTAAGGGAAGACCGCTTTTATATTTCCTGTCGTGAAATTTTTTTAGGAGGAAATGTGATTTGGGATTCAGGGCTTACAAGTAGCATAGCTTCCACTAAAGTCTAAATTGAAAAGTCTTATTTCGTTCAAAAGCTCAAAACAGAAGAGTGTCTTTTGCTTATTTAAAAACCTTTACCACTGCAGAATTTTTCAATGAACAAAAAGAAATAATTGCTGCGTAATGTTTGGTGGATCACTGAGCTCCATTTCCGCGGGACAGGTGTCGAAAGTTGCTGCAGTGTATTTAGGGAAAGCTGTCAAGCACCTCAACATATGTATATAAACTAAAGGCCTCTCTTAATAGCAGGGTTTTGCAGACCTCAATCCCTTAGAAAAAGCCTTGCTTTGCTCGATATCCAAATTTTTGGTCTTCATGGGCGTATTCTTGTCCATTCATTGGCACTTTGCGGACCGAAATCGATGGATGTCCAGACTATGTTGTTGCTAGAAAGCAAAAAGCTACCTTTTTGAATAACCTATTCTATAAATTTTACTCGTAAAAATAAATTTTACTCGTAAAGAAAAAAGTTGCGAAAAAATGAGGAAATCTTATTTGGAACTCCATTTCAATTTACTGGTCAAAAGTGTGTACCAAAACATTTGTACTTGCGAAATATTATTTGTATTTGATAAATATTTTTCTCTGTTTGTTAGTATTTGTAATTAATATTTTTTATTAGCGCTTTAACTTAAGAGCTATGTACATACATACATACATATGTGAGCTCATAGAATTGATTGATTATGTGTTATTTAAGCTGCCGATTATATCCACCAGTAGCTATTTAGCTGATTAATATTTTGCATAAATTATAATTTTCTCATCAAATTGTGCAATCACTAATCAAACGTTCTTTTCATAATGAAGACAGTAATCAAGAAACCTTTCTAATTAAATGACTCAACACGTTTTTTTGAGATTTGGTTTAACGAAACAAAAGACTTAGGTTTTTTAATTCTGTCATTTATGATGAAAAAAAGCCTGGTAAATCTGGCTAATCCAACTGTGTATATATTTCAATGTCCTATCGAGAATTTCACTCAAAAAGTTTAGATATATACAAAATATAATGGTAAGTATTGGCCTGATCATCAGCATAAGCTGTTAGTCTAGGCGCCCTGCTTCTCATCTTTAGTGGGAGCTTCTTCGAACTTCCAAAACATAAAACACATAATTTTTTTTTTTGACCTCTGTAGCATCGGGTAATGTTTAAAGTAAACCAACATATAAATTAAATATAAAAGATTATGTTTCCTCAAATACATATTTACATCTTGTAATTAGGCATGTCAAATGTTGCATTTCTAAGTTTTGAAGTAATCGAATAGCCAAAAGAAAAAAATGATGCAATATGCAATTAAGCACAAGTGTTACCAATGTTGTTGTAATTACGAATATGCATTGAGTACTTATGCGCCACTTAAAAGCAGCATTAACCCAGTCAACCAACTGTTTCGCATAAGTTCGAGGAAGCATTGAAAAATCGGGATAAGGGAAGCATATTACACTGCTCGTCAACTGTTCCATCCAGCTAAATATAGGAGAAAAAGTCACCCGATTGAATAACTCATGGGCATTAAAATATAACTATAGAACTAACAGAAATTTTCATTCGCCACATTATAATAAAGGGTACCTGTGAGGATATTTTTCAGCTCTTCAAATAAAATTGGAATCCTCTTAATTTATCCACTTCAATGCTTTGGAAAGTAAAGTTAAAAAAATCATTTGCGCATAAATCAGGCAATAATTATTTTATATAATTAGTAAAAATGTTTTTTCTTGTGAAACAACTATAAATATTATTGAAAATATTAAATTAATTTATGTTTAGGCTTTTACGTACATTCATATACGGGTACATATACAATGACCACGTGTTAATTTTTTTTTTAATATTCATAATGTTTTTCAAGTTAAATATTTTTTTTTTCGAAGCTTCACCAATTTAGAAAAAAGCGCAAAAACCCGTTAGCAAAAAAATGATTAAACATCAATGCGGTTTAAATTTGCACTTCACTGTACTAAAATGGCGTGGACTATACAACCGCATACCCAAAAATGTTCTGGAGGTGCAGATAAAAAAGTTTAAAAACTTGTTGAACTTTCCAAAATTTTTTATAGTTTAAAACATTAATTTATATATCTTGGTTAAAGCTTGGCCAATATTTTTATGTAAAAATAACAAAAAAAAAAATGAACTTGAAGAAAATGGTGAATATTTAAAAGCAAAATAATACGTGATCACTTGTTTGAGTCACTGTATGTCATAGAGAATATTTTATAGCTTAAAATTTGGCAAAAAATGGTGCATTCTCTCTCTCGTACCCTCATATATATAATATTTATATACAAACTGACACAATTTATTAAGCCCATAATTTTGGTTTGTTGGGTTCACGTATAAATAACTACATATGGACTGGGGATGTTAATTTTTCAGCTTTTTCCGATCCCGGGATTTTCGGTATGTCGTTATCACAAACCTGGGATCCCGAGATTAGTCCCGGGATAGATTTAGAT